GAGACCTTCTTTCTCGTCTTTGTGTTTGCATTGCTCTGTGCTGCGTTTGTCGGATTAAGCATACATCGCAATACATCGTATCGCTGTTTATATTTAAGTACACTGTAAGCATGCTTCTTATAGTGGTCCTGCTTCCGTCTCAATAGATAGTTTAGGTAGGTCGTTTTAATACCTTTGATACAGCCGATAGCAATGCTATGTTTGCGCAAATGCAGCGGAGGAGTATCGGGTATTGATATGGGTGTCATTGGAACAATCTACTCAAACTCACAAATCTCCACGGTCCTTCGTGTTTCATTTATGAGTTTTGCTTGGCATGAAAACAGTGTAATTATATTTATTGAAGAAAGACCTGTTTGTAATGGTAGCAATTTGATACATTTCTGGGAGAGATTGAAAACAATAATGTTTGTCCGTGTATGCGCGCAAGGCGCGCCTTGTACCTGGAATTAACCTGCGAGTTAATACTGCCGATAATATCGATACAAAGTCAGCGCATAAACGATTTCCGGCTGATTCAGACCAGATGCGCACGCGACATCTGGCCGACACCTGGCCGACAGTCCGACCTGGGCACTACTCGCACGGTATTCCGCCGATACTAGGCCGGTGGCAGAGCGAAGGTACGCCAATACCTGTCGGATGCCGGGACGAGGCGCAAAACCGCACATTCGGCCGATATTACACACTAAGAAAAAGGGGAGGGGTATTCAGTCTTTCCGGGGATTAAATGCGCTGACACAAATCAAATCAAATGAAGTTTTATTGGTCCATTAGTCCACCATTAATCTCCTAGGGGACTAACAGGTAGGGATGCCGCGAACTTTTTTCGAATCGAAGTTTTGATGATCGAATCAAGCGGTTCGAAAGGTTCGAAAGATTTCGATTTTTCGAATTGTCTATTTCGTAAAATTCGACGGAGGCCAAATTTTCGAACTTGTTAAGCTAAGAAGTTCGACGCATTTCGAACCGTCGAACTTATTACGCTAAAAATTTCGATCTTTTTCGAACTTTCGCACTTATTGCGCTGCAAGGTTCGATGCTTGTCGAACTTTCGAACTTGACTGACCAAAAAATTTGATGAATTTCGAACTTTCGAACTTATTTATCAAGAGAATTCGAAAAGTTTCGAACTTTCGAATTCTGAAAAGTCAGAAGTTCGACGAACTTCGAACTTTTAGGGTAAAAGTTCGACGTTCGTCGAACTTCGAAAGACCGGCGGACGGTTTCATTTGATTTCAAGTAGTGGGGTACATTCGTAATTTTTTTTCTCGAACTTTTACACGCGGTGCTGCGTTCCTTACGAAAGAAAATGTCGTTTATTTCAATGTTCTGGCACGCTTAGGTTTAAAGAAATAAATCACCGAAGGGGCGAGGAAGGACGGCGGGTTTTTGACGATTATCGTTTGATCAAAAAAACTGCTCCGACTTTACTCAACAAGATTAACAATTTAATCAAACGTTTCGTCTCCCATCCGGGAAACATCGTCAGTGAAACCTACAAGCAGGAATGAGGGAAAAAACTTCAACAGTCCTATTTAAGCAAGTCCGCGTACACATCGGGGAGGGGGCCGCGGTTGGAATTGCAAGCTGATGAGTCACCTCGGATGAACCATGATTCCACGAACCTGCGTGGACCCCACCTTTGTTCGCGCGCCAGAGTGGACGCATTCTCAAAGTCGAAACAGTGACCCGTAGTCCAACAATGGTCTACGAGTTCTTGCGATTATCGTTTGTGCCAGATTTAAAGCACGCTGCAGCCGGAGCTATTTATGGTAGATATGTTATACTTCTTTTAAGAATGATCTATGTATAGCCTAGGTAAGTGCCGTCTTAAGATGTGATTATTGTTATTCAACGTGAGTTTCGAACAAATGTCCAAACATGTATCTGCATGCAATTATGACCTAAACTTGATATTTATTTTCGTCTAAGTTGTTTGAGGTATCGCATTGAAATTAACACCACAGACAGTACATATCGTTGCCATCTGCAGAATACAAAATAATATATTTATTGTTTTTCACGTTAAGGAATAAATTAACTCATGGGAGAAGATTTCTAATAGTGTTCAAGTTCAGCACGTCATTAAAAGAAAACTTTTTTTTTTTTTCGCTTCACGTTTCTGGGACGTGTTTCTTTTAGCCTGTACACATTTTGTTAAAAGAAACTTGTTTCGAAGTTCTGAACCTCTGAATATGCAAGAATAGAACACTTCCGACGAATTCTTGATAGTTTTTTTTTTCTCCTGCTTTTTATTCCCGCATTTATTTATTTCTTTATTTATTTATATATATATATATTTTTTTTTTTTTACTATCGGCACAGGTGTTTAGGTCGAAAAGACAGCTTTGAACTTCCGAACCACTAAGCATGTGACGAGCAGTGCCTTCTGACAACGAGCTTCTAACAATAATCATCTACGCAACCTTTTATGCAGTGAAGAGCGACAGTAGCTACACATATGCATAAGTAATTTCAGATTAAAATAAGCTCGACCACGCCCTCTTTCCCCGTATTGTTTTCTTTAACAGTCCGAAACACCTGCAAGGGGAAGAAGGAGGCTGAAGACCCCCCCCCCCCCCCCCCCCTCCCCCCGCTACCCTCTTTCCCCCCGTTTTTCCTCTTCCGACGCCACTTGTAAGGTAGAACGCTCCTCGACCTCGAGTTGCGTCGGCTTTTGTGCTTTTTGCGAGGCGATTCCTCCGTCCCAGAAAATAAACCTCCAGGACAATCACAAACTTCACCGGATCGGATTACTACCAGCGTGCAAGGGGTGGCGAGCTAGTTTGCCAGGTCGCTTCAAGGTTTTTCTGAGCCTCAACCTCCTGCTCGTTCTGGCCGTTTCGAACTGGATGAGTCTCGTAAAACAGTGTGTTCGTGCAATCACTACTGCGTAATGCAGGTTAAAGACCCCCCCGGGGCTGGCGGTCACAATTCTGCACTGGCAAATATTCTAGCACGTCCGGGACACTCGTCGTCTCATTTAATTGCCTGACCAACTTCGCAGAACCTAGATACCGCACCCTAACTTTTCTAAACTTGATTTTGTGAAAACAAGGGAGTCGTGAAAACGTTATTTGAAACTGAAACTGTGGCAAAACTTGAAAATCGGACTTCGAACTTTGAAAACTTGGATTAGAAAGAAATTCAAAATCTTCGAAGTTTTTTTTGTTTGTTTTTTTAATTTAGCGTTAAAAGAAAATCGAAACCTTCGAACTTTTCGAACTTTATGCAAAAAGAAATTCGAAATCTTCGAATTGTTCGAACTTCATGTCTATAAAAATTCGAAGCGTTCGGAGTTTTCGAATTTTTTTTACAAAGAATTTCGAAATCTTCGAATTTATCGAATCTGAAGTAAAAAAATATTCGAAATATTCGAATTCGAAATTTTAGAAACCGTGAAAGCTTCGAAATTTTCGAATTCGAAACTCCGCTGTGGTCAAAAGTTGCGAATTTTTCGAAATCGAACCTCGGTCGGTACGAAAATATCGAAGTTTTTCGAAATCGAACCTCAGTTCGCTTCGCAAATATCGAAACCTTTCGAAATCGAACCTAGGGTGGTTCGCGACATCCCTACTAACAGGGAAGGGAGTAAATTTTGCGCCCCTCCCGTTAATCTTTCCAAGTTGAACCCCCAGGTCTAACCTGTGCAGTCTTGCATTTAGAAAACCGGGGCTAAATGTTGCGCCCTTACCTTATTTATTACTAAATCGCGCACTTACAAACCCAGGTGGCGCGAGTTAACGTCAATTCTAAATTTGAAAAAAAAATTATTATTTTCGGAAAGATCTTTCTTACGCTCATTACATTCATATTTGAACAGCGCTTATTTCAAATTCAAATTTGCACACGTATTGTACATTTAACATAGACAAGGGATTAGAACACAGATGACACACACGCACAACGCACACGCGACGACACGCTAATTCATTCACCACCCCTAAAGGCTCTCCGCGCCCTTTTATACTGATCATTTGAAACAATTCGTTTGGTCAGGGCAGTTAGTCCTCAGCATTTGCACCCGGTACCTAGCTCGAACCAGATGGTCTCTTCGGGGAGCAAATGGGAGTCCAGAGGAAAAAATGCTGCCGCTAGTCCTTCGAGACCATCTTCTTTTCTTTGTGTAGAGCAGGATTTGCCAATATCGTCGTACTACTTGGGGAGCTACGGCACGTTAACAAACACACTTGGCCTCTTGCTCTTAGTGAATAAAGGAAGTTTGATGGTGTGAAATGAACACACTCGCTCAGTAGTATTCACAAATGTGCCCCACACACAATACTTCCTAGACTGCCTGGTCGACATGCAAGTGTCCCTTCCAGTGACTTCTAGCTAATTTTGAAATTTGGCTTTGGCATGACCTTCAGTTTTTTTTTTTTTTTTTATTAGTTACAATTTTGAGTTTATAGAGACGGGTATCAAAACATTTTAGTTAACTAGGGTAACAGAAAACGTTCGGTAGTGTACACCTTGAAACACCCATTGTAAGAACCGTAAGCGAGACTGCTTTAAATTTATTCTCCATGCCAGAAACTGTAACTGTAGAGGTAGTACGCCTCGTGTAGTTCGTTATTACACATATTGGGTTTTTGATATTCTTTTATGGTATCGTTACGTGCATTTAATCTAGTTTCATCTGGTCCGGCTCTAAGAAAAAAAACAATTGTCGAATCACTTATGTCATGTACGTTTTCGTTTTGTGAGCTTTTTGCCCCGGAATATCCCTCCCGTTTCAGGATAGTTTTCACTATTTTACAAGAAATTTAACAGCATGGACTTTAAAAATGCCACGTCTATTAATCTTCTGCGTCAGCTTCTTGCTTTCCCGCGAGTGAGTTACTAGGTTTAGACGATGGCACGAGTAATTCTGGGGAATATACAACCCCGCTTTCGAGACACTTATTTGGTATGCATTTCGACATTCATTCACCTCACTGTGCTGGAACTACATCATTCATCTCATTTTATGAGCTGTGAAATGGAATATCACTTACAGAACAAGATCTTGCCTTGTACATTTTTGGCAAAACTCTCCTACAGAATCTGGCTGGTGACAACATCCATCCTGGGAGAGGCTTATTTGTGTTGTTTTTGTAGTCCTTCGGCTCCCAATGATTTTCTAAACATTGTGCTGTACCATTGCTGAAAGAAAATAAATCCAATAGCAGTCGGTATATTATCCAAATTCAGATGTCACACATTTAAAAAAAAACGCAAGAAGTGGCGAGCTCTAAGCATCTAATTTTCGTTGTTCATTTAATGAGATTTCATTCTTAACAATTAACAGCGACACAAAAAGATTCAGGAACCCACGACCTGGGGTGTCAGTGGCTGTAATCACCATCTGGGTTTGTGTTAGACTCCATCTTTGTGCCGCAACCTCAGATCAAAGCAGTTCTTTTGGAGAGCTTTAAAGCTAGCAATCAATTAAAGCTTGATTAAAAAATGAAAGACCTTTACATGGCTCTGTAATACGAAATTACAGCGCAGCTCTGGAGGAGGATGACGGCAGGTTACGGAAGGAAGGGTATGCAACTCCCCCTCCTCCATACCCTCTCCTCCTCCGTACTCTCCCCTCCTCCTCCTCCTGCGTACCCTCCCGTCCCCTTCCTCCGTACCGTCCCCTTCTCTTCCTCCATACCCTTTCCTCCTCCCACAGTTTCCCCGCTAAATTTAGCTGAAAAATTAACACCACGTGACCTCAACACCTATGCAGTTTCCCCGCTAAATTTAACGGGGAGAATGACGTCACATGACCTGGTTATACGTCACCAATGAACAAATTCAGTTTCTCCGCTAGATTTAGCAGGAAAATTGACGTCACGTGACCTCCACAGCAATTAAAATCCCGCTAAATTTAGCGAGGAATTGAATTGGTCTTGGGGTCACGTGACGTCCATTTTCCCGCTAAAGTTAGCGCGGTTTCGCCGACGCCGCGAACCACGGAAACGGGTGCCTAAGAGCTCCGATCTAAAACCAACACCTGTCATAAGATTTATTAGTAATCCTGCTGTACGCACATGTAAGCTTCAGTGATCTGTTTCATAGGTCTCGGAAGCAGAAAACAAAATGTGAATACTGTACACCAGAAGTATCGAACCAATATAGGAAAATTTAAAAATAGAAGTTTTCCAACGTGGTATCGTAGTTACTTAGGAAGTTAAAGACCTGCCATCGGCTAGCGAAAAATTCCTATATATATATATAGAGAGAGAGAGAGATAATTTTATTTACATATTTCCTCACCTAATAATTTTTACTTTGCAGTAGGTTTTTATCCGTTTTATTCGTTATTTTTTTCTGAGCTCATCCAAAATGAGGAACCGTTAGAAACATCACACTCCGAAAACAACGTATTCGGAATGTGCCTAAAAATAACCTAAAGCGCATTTTAGGAAAATGGAGCTTGGATCAGACTTCTGTCGTTTTTTGTTCATTGAATTCGGCTGTCGCCCTTGAATTGGGTTGAGATGGGGTAAACAAAAAATTCCTTTTATTTTGGAAACATGTAACGCGGAGAGGTTAGCCCAGGGAATGCCGCGATTCTCTCTGCTACCTGTTATCTGTACAAGGTATTGTGTCGTCATCGTTGGCATCTTCTCACGTCGCTCCTACTGACAGAAATGGAAGAAAACTTTAGGCACAGTTTTAAGGTGCCTACTTTCAAACCTTCAAAGTGTTTCCAAATTCTAAAACCTCTTCAGCTTCCCTTTAATTATCGAAACTGGGAATGAGTTGGGGTAAACTGTTTTAGCACTTTGATGCAGGTTTAAGCTCCAGTAATGTTAAATCCGTTGCCCAAAGCAACCTTTAGAAAAAGCACGTGGCACATGACATTTTTTGGGGAACTCAAACAATCTAAATTAACCACTGTGATGCATAGTTACCAGAAAGACATTTTGGCGTTTTCCTTTTTGAGATTTATTAGGAAATATTTATTATACAAAAGTCTCTTAAAATGGTTTTGTAGCTGTATAATTATAACCTGGTTATTACATGAGACATTTCTAGGTAGGTATTTATTAAACATCCCATTAATACGGTCCATGTAGTTTGCTTTAAAGCTTTAAAGTAGTTCTACTTGAAATATTTTCCAGCACGATCTCTGTTAGTATCCTTCCAGACAGAAATCTGTCACTCATTCCATTGATTCTAGGCAATTTATGTAAAATATTCTTTACGTACACTATCATAAATTGGCCAATCATCTCCTTTGTGCATTTCGAGAAGGAGTAGGGTAGCGTGGGCTCCATAGGTGACATCAGAAAGCCATCGCCTCGTGGGCATCTTTGTGCTCCTTCCCCTCCATCGTACTCAGCACCAAGTCTGAAAGTTTTAAGCAATAATTTATATTAACTAACGGTTGCTGCTAATAAAGGCATTTAATGGTTAAAGAAATCAAATTTACAATAGAAAATATATTCATTAGTGAAGTCGCTGCTGCGAATATACAAATATAAGAAGGTTCTGAACACGTGCGTGCACATCAAAGCTATGCAGTTGTATGGGTGCGACATGTGGCAGGAATTTGAAGATATATACATTAGATGTTTAAATAAATAGACACTTTTCATTTCCATGGTATTGTCGCGATCCAATCACTGCTGTACGGAGTCTTTAGTGACCCTTGAAAAGCGTTAACCAATAGAGAGTATTCACTGGTGGCCATAGTTGTGTGCGCGACTGCGCGGGCTAATGGCGAGCCTCCACAGTTCGTTTGCACCGTGCATTCAACACCATCAAGATTGCCGGTGTTAGCAGCCTATAAAATCAGCTCGTTCTGAGCATGCGGCCTAAACAGCGCCCACAAAAATGACGCCCAGCGAATATTCCCTATATAAAGTATACATGGTACTCTGAACTTCCCGTAATCATTCCTTGAAACGTTACCAACATAACAAGTGTCCATGTGTCCAGCTCTTGAACGTTCGTAGGGCTCGTAAATCAAAAGCGAGGCCTAAATCTTTCACTCATTCGCCTAATTTCTTCCTTCATTTATTTGTTTACATGTACTCTCACGGCCACTAGGGGCGTCAAAAAGGGCAGCGGTTAAAGAGGGGATATCCAGAGCCTGGTCCAAGGGTTCGCAATAGATCTTAATTCGCGAGTTCGGACCCAGTACTTAGAGTCAGGGCTGAAACCAAAGTTCGAAACCCTCACTACGACCCAGGGAAGCAACCATGGCTTGGCCCCAATACTAGAACCAAGAGCTGACGCAATGGGTCAGGTCTATGGTTTGGACCCAAGGTGTGAACCAGTTTTCTGACCTAATGACTCGTTGGAATTTCGGGATCGAGCCTGTACCTTTTCCTCTGGGTTTGGGCTCATAGGTTCACCTACTTTCCTTCTCACATTGAATAGGGCTGGCATAAAAGCTGAAATTGTGATGTCTTTGTATTCGTCTAATCCTCATCCCGACCGAATAGCCGGCGCGGCCTGACAACCGTACACCAGGATCAGTCAATAGAAGAAAACTCATATAAACAGCAGTCCAGGCTACACGTTTCTGCGGGCTGAAGAAAGCACAGCAGGACCCTAATACGGAATTAACCGCTTTGTCCAACACGACATCATGACTTTCAGTCGTTTTTATTTTAACTTTCAGTTGCGGGGCTGTTCCACATTTTAAGCCCGTCTAACCAAACACAGGTCGTTAAAAGCGACATCTACAACCACTGGCAGCTTGAAAACGGCTGGGCGGAGCAAGGCCCGGTCATCTTAGTATCGCTCCTCAAACCATGAGACTTCGAAATTATCCTTTAAGAACGCTGAGAAACAAATTACAAAACATGCTGGAAGAATATGCGTTTCTTAAGTTCCCAGGAAGTACATACAAGTAGACTTGCCTGGAAGATTTTTATCTTAGCATTATGCATGCGTTATGGTTTGTTATGCTTTGCGTGGTTTCACATGCATCGCACTCATGTACTACCCGAGCTTATCAGGTTGGTCTTGACAAGTTTAAATTTATTTGAGACCCGTGACGTCATGACAATACGTGGGAAGCTACGCTTCGTCATTCGGGGGCCGGATGCGCGCGTCGACCTCCGCTTACTACTTCAGGCCCCCGTGAGCAATAAATAGTCCAGCCGCTTGCGGTTCCGTTCAACTCCTCCCAGTGGCGCTGAACAAAGGCGTCGGATTGCGGATCACCAGGTCCGGGTTCGATTCCTCTGCGCCGTTTGGTAAATCTCGCAAGTTATGATTTAGTGTAATTAAGTTTTAATAATTATGATGAAGTTTCCTTTGCGTTGAACAGGCCTGCGTGTAGCGACGCTTCCTCACGCCCGATCGTTAAGGCACCTTCACACACTTGCCTTTGCTTACGACCAAAATTTTGCAATGAGAAAATGACACGCTGGCGCCATCCATAAGGTGACCGTGGAACTGCCTTTCACTAGAGCGAAGGTTTCACGGTACTTACGACATCAAACTCACGTACTATTTTTGAGAAATGTTCGTTTATACCTTTATAATATTGTCAAACGATTTTTGGTTTGTTTTTTAAAGCCAAAATTTATAAAGACGCGCGAAAAAAATAGGAAATGTACGGAAATGCCAAGTATTCCGCGGCACCCTGTTAGATAGAGCCTCTGTGTTATCGTGTCGTAAGATAATTTAAGAGGTCTTAAAGAACACAGTCGTAGGCATAACAATTTGGTAAACAATATAGCTTAAAAACATTTGATTTTAATACGACAGTGCTCAAACTGCCGGCCTCACTCGAACACTATGATTTGCGTCCCGTAGTGCCATTAGTTAACTATATATTTACAGCGAACTCGCATACGACATTACATATACATGTAGGCCCCAGCATTCATGAAATGGAAAAGTATTTTTTTATGGTTATTAGAAAAAAAATAACGAGTTATATCCTTGTTTTAGCACATTTTACTGCATGAGGCGCAATTCTACGGTCATGTTGTATGCCCCGACCCAGGGGCATCGTGTAAGCAATATCCTCTCTGTCATTCTTATGAAGCAAATCAAATTCCCACTCACATTTTGCAAATGACCCGTACCATCGGGTTAACCAGCTGATAAAATCCGTCGTCGACGACACATCCAATTTTTTGGTTAGTACAGAGCGTTCCCTTAAAGCCATATTCTGTCGGTTTCCAGAAAACATTGGAATAATTATTTCACTACACTTCATGTCACTCAACAAAACTCAAATACAGTTATGCAAATATTACCGAGATATGCCATTTCCAATCAATTACAGAGCAATGATTATGAGCATAATAGGCCGCGACGTTCTTTCGAAGTCTTCAGTCGCTGTAGTTATGTAGGGTGGTGTTTCAACCATTCTAATATGTGCTAAACTGCATGTTATAGTACTTACCTCTTTTATGCGTAAACAAACAATTAACAATAACCACTTTATTATAAAAAACGCAAAGTAATCCTGGAGAACCGAGGAGCAATCTACATTGAAATCACATTTTCATTCTCAGTAAAAGTGTCGTGCCAAAGTTGAAAGCTGGGCTAGTTGCCTACATTTTACCTGCATTATAAGTGTCGTACTACATTTTCCCAATACAATTTGCTGCCACCTCTTGGGCATTCTTGAAATCATTCAAATTACTGGGCTTATTGGCTATATAAAAGCTTAAAGGTGTATTGGTGGCAAGAAACGTAGTAAAATTGGAATGAATTCAGCAACTGTACCGGAACTTATTGTTTTCCTATAACCTTCGGGAACTTCCAAGTGATGCCATCTGAAATAAAAGTAGAGGTTATTTCCAGCAACATGCCATGATAAAAATCTTAACTAATACTGTCACTATGGGGCAAACCCTGCATACACGACTTTTTTTTTCAAAGTTTCCTGTGTAATAAAATAAATCAGCTTGCTTGAAATTCTTTATTCATAATTAAAGTTCTGTTGTCACCTCAAAATGTACCTTTATTGTGTCCAAAATTGTAGGTGCATACTTGTTTGAAGTGTTCGAAGTTTTATTTATTTTCTATCACCGGTATTAAGATTTAAAAAGAACATAAATCAAAGCTTGGGGTGCATGTGCCCTCGGCTTGGCGTATTTTTCAGATCTGATCGTACTATTAAGTGTGATACACTGGGATCCCTTCATTGTTCGCAGTGTTTGCCTGCTTTTGTCTTCTGTGACAAAATGAACTCAGAGACTAGTGTATAACCAAATGCTTTACTAGAGGAGTGCATTCTACTCTCTCATTTTCATTAAACAGCCTACCAATACGGCTCCAAATCCTGCCCTGGCGGTGTGGACAGCCTGCGTCCGAGAGAATGCATGAGCATTCCGCTGCCCTAGTTGTCGGTTTTTCGTGTTGTGCCAAGGTCAAAGTACTACCGCCGACGCGCCGAGATAGCGGATTCCCCAATACAACAAAGACGGCTGTCTCCGCTGTCTCGAAGGCTGCCCAGAACGATAGATGACGGCAGCCATCTCTCTTGATTCGAAGGCCAAAACCCCGAGTCTGCTGCATGTTCAGCCGCTTTAACTATGCTCAAGCCGTCGGCTCAAAGGCCATTCAAACTTTCCCGGAGCAAGGTCCAGTAAAGTGTTTGGTATAGTGATCGCGAAAGGAAAACTAAAAAAAGGCCACGTAAAAAGCACGAAAAGGACACACACACCGCCATGAACACGCTGGCAAAACCAGGGAACACACAACATGTCTCGCACAAAACACCGCATGGTATGACGTCATACCACCGTCACCGGCACGTTTTGGCGCGAGAGCAATACCTCCAGTTCCGACGAACACAAACCCAGGTTAGCGTCTGTGTTGTTTGTTTGTTTGTTTTTTTTACGTTTTATGGCTTTACCTTTTATTTTATTTTTCTACGTTTGGGTTTCTTAACTTCTTTTACTTTTTCGTATTATTTTTTTTTATTGTTAAACGCTGCTAGCGTGTAGCTCGTTCATGAAGCACGTTCATGGTGACTTGTCTTATAGAGAACGACCCATAAAACACGTTCCGTGTTAAAGAGTCAAGAAAACTGTAAAGGGTAAATTGTACAAATGCTTTCTGTTGACAAACAGGTAGGCTCCATGACTTTTCAGAAATACAGATTCATCGCTGGGCCTCACAAACAGGTACGTTCTAGCAACCTACCCTGTAGCGTAGAGTATGATGTCAATTTTTTGTAATCTTGTGCTCATTTGAATGCTCTGGTCCAATTTCTTTTTCACTTTTACCACGTCGACTTTCTTGTTTTTCTCGATCATGTTCGTAATGTCCTGTGGAACCTAATAAAACCAATAGAAGATGACTCACTATAAAACTGGTGCGCTTTGTAGTGACAGGTAGAAAATCGTTCTTATATCTATCGTCTTGGGGAACATAATACCTTTGAGTCAAGTAGTTATTAAAAAGGAAACGACACTCAAACCGACTCTTAGCACTTAGAACATTCTTATGGAACGAAATACTGAAATGGTGGCAAAAGTTGTGTATTCAATATTGTATCTAAATATTAACTGATGACTTTGCTTCGAAGTAACGTTTAATGTTTCGATTGAAATCAAACCCCACAGCTGCTCTTAAAGTTGTGTTGCGCATATTAGTATTTATGCCAAGAATTGTTAGTAATTTATAAACACTTGTGATGCGTGCGAATCATTGTTTTTTTTTGTGTTTTTTTTTATTTCGCTTTAAATTTAATTATATGCAATACAATGGTCGAAGCTGATAAGCGTAAACATATATATTGCCACGCGCGTCGCTGAGCAAGCGCAAACGTGACCGAATGGTTACCGTGCTTGGCAGTCGCGCGGAAGAGCTAAGTACGATTCCAGGCAACGCAATATTTTTTTATTTATTCTTTCTAGTTGGTGTTCTCGCAAACGCAAGGACTTTTTTTTGTCTGATCAAGTTACGAATGTCCTATGCGCTGAACGTTATAGGCAGAATGTTCCAGAGACCCACGCGGCTATACAAAGGTGTTCCGCGTGGCAAGACGGATTCAGTCTCGCCCCAGCGTTCGATCCCGCTGTTACGCCGGCTTCAACGCCCGCGACGCTCTGTTGTTATCTTCTGTTTCCTTTTTGTTCTGGGCACAATTTCGCCCCATTAAACGTTTCACCTCGTCATTCGTGACAATATTTCAGACGCGCTTCTTTTTGATATTGTGCATTCGTTACACAGACCGACTGGTACCCACTTCGGCTCTAGTAAAAAAACTAAAGTGTTAAAGGTTTTAGATGTTTTTGTTTTTTTACTGGGGTCAAATTTGGCCAATCTATCTGTGATAACTCAGTCAACATAATGAATAAATATTAAAGTCTTTTGTTGCTTAAGTTGCCAATTGTTTACACATTATTTCCCACCCATTTTGTAAATCTACAAAAGGAGTCATCTATAAAAATAAGCTCTTTAAAAAAATGAGTAGACACAAGAATAAAAAACAATACTCACGGTGTATACTCCCACCACTTTAAGCAGAATAAGGGGATCCCGCAGTAAGCTGAGTCTCAGACATACCTTAAGAAAAACGATCATATTACGTTTGTTTCGCTTGAAACATAGCTGTCTCACGTTCTAAAAAACAATTATGATTTAATGTAAGCAGACTTTAGCGGCTCGAAAGTTTTGTCACTGTAAGTCTGCAAGTGTGGTAGGGGTATGTAAATGAAAATCAAAAGTAAAATCCTGATTTTATCTTCTGCGACCTTCCAGAAAATACATTAAAACCTGTATTGTGCAGCGATAGTGGTTAGAAATGCGTCTCAATTTACACAAGCTTGCTGGCACAAGTGAGACCCACGTATTGGGCACGAGATTGGACTATACTGATCGCTTTATCGAGCTTCTTGTCCTTACAGCACGGTGTTTACTAACACAGCATAACAAAGAAATTGAACCACGCCTAGCATGTTCCGGGCACGAGTGCTTCCGTCTGATCAGCGCTTTTGGTCGCACCAGGAGCGGTCTTCGAATTGTGGTCTTCGATTTCTCAGACCAATAACAAACAAGAAAATTCGGTTTGTTGTCTACACAGCTGAAGCATACCGCTAGAGGAGTGACTGTTTCATCTCCTCTTCAATACTCGCACACAACGCCACTGACTAAGAAGATTCTATGTGCTTTCATTGAAAAAAATCTGACGTTTTCTTTTAGCTTCGTATTCGCAAAAAATGACGAAGTTGTAGAGTTCGCACTGTTGGCCTTATCCACATTGCGATTCCAAGGATTTCGCCTGAAGCGTTGCGATCTTCGCGGTAACAATATTTAAATGCGGCTCATAGAGTGGATACGAAAACTGCATGAGCATTCGATTTCAGCTTGTGGCAAACATTCTCTGGACATGCATTCGGGTAGCGGCTCGTGGCCTAACCCTGCGATGACAGGAATAAAACATATCTGTCGGTTGTTCATTTTCTTATATTCAATTAAACGAGAGACGTCAATTCTAAACTATTAAGATGAAATATGTTATCTGCATTTTAGAAACTTTTCGTAAATATCGTGTGCCTTTTATCCGTTTGAAACGACCATGCGAGACACCTCAGCAGCATGAGGAACCAAACTTCACGGTAGCTATGTAGAAAGGTTGAACATGCGCTCAACTTTATTTTATCTTGAAAAAAGTAAATCGAAAGTGATTAAAACAGTGACTTATTAATCGGCGTTCTTGTGTTAGGTATACGCTACTAGATCACGTGATTGCAATACAGTTTCGGTTTCAAGCACATCCGTGTCTGCCATCCTAACCATGCTGCTCGTCCTGGATGGAGGAAATATAAAAGAAGACAAAAGGCAACAAGAGTTTGCACCACAAACAATTTGACCAAAAAGGTTTTAATAACCATAACATGTTATCGTAGACGAAAAGGGTGCGGATAATGCTTCGTAACTCCCGAAGATTTGTGGTGTTCATGTAAATATCATGAGAACGAAGGAAATTAAGAAGTGTTAAGATGACACAATGTTCATTTACGCGCTGTGATCGTTCTAAAAAAAACTCAGTTAAAAGCACGCGTGGACTTTTTTTCTTTTTTTCAACTAAGGCATGGTTGAACATCGATGACTACATTGTGCGTCTTGTAGGATGTAGACCTTGAGTTCGCCCCATTAGAAAAATACGATCTCAAACTCCGCCCCTTTAAGCACACCGCGGGAGTTGATTTTAAGGCAGAAAGGAACTAAAGTATAATTTGTTGCGCTTATGTATGCGCAATAAATGTTTCTTGGTAGCCGCAACATGACACAAAGAAAGCAAACACCTCTACACTTCCGCAAAAAAACCTTGTCACAGCACATAGTAAAAGGCTTAGATATGCCAACGACAAGCCTAGCGTCTGCTAGAGTTACAGTTATTCTGGTCGTCCACATTTCTCACCACCTAAAGCCTATGAAGTCTGGAGCTCCTAGTTTCAAACAAAGCACTTGTAAGAGCCGGAGGTTGCGATCTACGGTTGGAGCTCCGCAAATGACATGGCTGAAGGTATGTTTGGAGAAATTTTAGTCCAAAAATACTCGCGATGACTCTAAGTAGTGTTCAAACTCTGTCCAGATTGTTTTTGCAATGTTTGAACATATTCTCAGTCTCCACATTCACCAAGCCATTTCCGTAGATCACAGCGATCGGCTCGGCCAAGTGCTTTGCAAGAAGGTAGCCATGGTGGCACGCCAGAGAAAACACGTAACTCGGCACAACCTTAGCAGTCCTGGGCCTAATAAAATCTTGCGCAATGGTGTTAGTGCCAGAGTCTGCAGTTTTCTTTGGCGTTTCTCTGGCTCGCCACATCATTGTCAGAGTGGCAGACTTGAGTCAAAGACGCCAGATGACAGTCAAACTACCAGCAGAGAATCTTAAATTTAGCACTTTTTTTTGGCAATTTAGTCCCAAAGTTGCCAGGTGACGGTCAAACTGCCTGCAATGAGGTGTTTGTAAACTAGCGTCAATATACCCAGATTCTGTCCAAAGATAATTACGTGCGGCTCTACTTTTTCTTTCTTCGGGCTTTTTTAAAGCCCCAAATTCCCGGAAAAAGAAAAAAACGAATTTCGGTCCCAAAGAATTGTGCCACCCGGGTAAGCGCTGCGGATTTTAAGATTCTAACCGTATCAAAATCGCTTTCCAGGAACCCAAGCTGAGACTTACCGCGTTAGCCGCTGTCAGGTAGTACGCCTCGTAGGTCGTGCGAGCGCGTTTGTCGATGTTCTTTTGTGCCCATTGGTCCACTACGATTGCTATTTCCAGCTGGTAAACTTGACAAAAAAAAAGCAAGTTTTCAGACGTCGAATATGCAACCCTCTGTTTCTTTCAAATTAAGCACATCTATTTTCTCCGCTGCTTGCTCAAGCACCCGAGAAACCCTCAAAATCTAGCAGGCTTACCAAGTATAATGAGCGTAAACACGACTGATAAACAACGGATCGCTTTCGTTTTTTAGAAACACCGTTGTCATGAGTGCGCACCATGTATTACCACAGAGCACGCGGTGGGTGAATAATATACATAGCTTGCATTTGACGTCATCGCCCCGTGATGGTGGTAATTTTTGGTCATTCCTACTTGTTCTTAAACATAGAAAATGAATTTGTTTGCGGGAAGTACATGCTCAAGAAGCAACGCGCTCAGCATCAAGGCCACCACAATAGCTGCTGTTATGACGTCAGTGGAAGTCATGCATGTTCACTGACGCACTCTAAGAAATGCCTGCGCGCCTGCTTACACACAAAACACTCGAAGAGCCAATCTCTGCGATCTGCGATATCAGCTCAGCGAATGATGAGGCGGAACATCTCTTTACACCTCAAATTAGGTCTGCGCTGTGGCATTACGCAATGCAAGCATGCCGGTTTGCATAGCGTGATGCCACAGCACAGACTGTGGGGTTACATTGCATTTACTTCCCGAAACTCTCCGAAACATTGAACATTCGTTTCGGGGAGTGAAAAAGGTAAGGATCAACTCAACCTTCAGACGTCACGCCACTGTGGTGGCGCTGCTGTTGGCACTACTCACGCGCAGATGCATCGCCTCACGCGAATCCTGGCTCTGTGCACGTGCAGTGCCCACAGCCGGTGTGGGCGAACGCGGGTTTGTTTCTAAACGGTGCTTCGGTTGATGTTTTTACAAATTTCCCCTAATAAATTTAGCGGGAAATGCACGGACGGATCTATGGGACGGACAAAATTTTCGGGACTGGGGATTTTCGTTAAAAAAGGCATTTCGTGCTTCGAAAGATGTTTTGTCTCAAAAAGAAAACTGCCTGCGAAGTGGCACTGAAAACTGTCAAACGCCATGCTCAGTGCCAATGCGCAGACTGCATTTTTAGGTCACAACGTATCGTCAGCCTCGTCGTTAGGGCTCACCATCGATTGCACCGATTCCCTCTCCCATGTGCTTTGCGGGAAGTGTTAGACGTTACCCGTTCCTCAGAGCTTAATGAAACCGTACGCGCTCTTCTTCCAGTGGAACAGGGAAGAGGAGATAGTGAGAGCGAAAACAAGTAAAGTTTTAGCGACTGACGAAGACAATTAGGTCTGAAAAAAAGATCGAGAGAAAGGTCGTGCTCATTGCCCCGTGTACGTTGCCTATGCCGTGTCTGATCGTATTCAAAGCTTTCTCAATCGCAGCTATGCTTTTGCTGTTCGCAGTCATTGGCTGTCTCGTTGTTCTGCGTAAAAATAGACTCGCAGACCTTTCTTTTTCTTTTTTCTTGCTTTTTTTTGAGAGAGGATTTCTTTAATTGTAGATTTCGGCAAGGAATACTTTGCGGACGGTTTTAGAACATGCTGGCGTCTGGAGAAAAAATCACTGTTCTAAAAAGCCTAAAACAAATTTCATTCTGCACGCGCGTTCGTCGACGTTTTAGGTAAGCTATTTACTTCGAATATTCTACATGGGGAAGGCGAGCGCGTGCGGCGCGTAGGCTTACATTTCCGGCATTCTCCTCGATACTCGGGAACTTAGCGATAGGTCCCATGCCGCAGTGCGCGTGCCGCATTGCGCGTATCTATAATACATACGAACACTCGAAAAATATTCGAAATTGTATTTATCGCTTCACCACCCGATTTCGAGGCAATTCGCGAATGTGTAACTAACTGTACACTCGTCATTCGGGCTGCATTCCCGGCAACGGCTTTCCGAAACTGGCACTGAGCGAAAACGAGCTAAAAGGGAGGCTAAAATGTCCGTCACACGTTATCAAAGAACTTCGAGTTGCCAGCATTGTTGCGGTCGATAGCATAATAAAATCCTATAGAGGCATAGTCACACTGCCAATACGTCACTCAGAAGGTAGGGTGGAGACACTTCCCAACGCGTGTGTCTTGCTTGTACGACTGTACTTACACGCTGACATGCGAACACTGTCCGCAGACATGTATGAAGCATACACTCGTGCTTCGAAAATGCTAGCGGCGTGTATGGAGATATCACTGGCATCGCGTCTGCACTGAACGCAGCGTCCCTTGCATACACGGTGTTCGAGTGGTGTGACTTTAGGGTCGTGGAACCTCACCTAAATGTTTTCAACGTACCTTTGGCCCGAGCACTTGACGGAACGGCATCTTTGTAGAACGGATCTGTATATTTATAAACAATGTAAAATGTCAGACTTCCTTTTTTAGTTTCTTCTTTTTTTTTCTGAAAGTCGCCGTCAACGCGCTTTCATTTCCTTTTTTCTTTTTTATTATTTGACTGTGAAACAGGCTTTTATCATACGTAGCCAGCCCCCTTGTGCGAAGCATACTCCGTACGTGCGTTCGCGGACCAGTGGGTCGTTATTTGTTTGCCCGTGTGATAAGCGCTAAAAATGAGTTTATAAAGCGCCAAATGCTTGGCACGTCTTTTTTTTTTTTTTTAAAGGCGCTTCGTTTATAGTTTTTTGGGGCTTAGTGTGTTTTCTCGATACGCCGGTCAACCCCGAAAAGTAACCGCCAATTCGGTTTTACCAAAGTGGAAGAGAACCGACAAAGCCCAAAGTTAAGCAGTCATTTAGTAATTAAATCCAAGCGTAACACGGCAAGAAATCATCATCTGCGACTTTATTTCGTGTTTACCCGAAACGCGGTCTCCACTGCACTGTCCGCCAAATGGCGTTTTTCTTTTTTTCTTTTTTTGTGTGAATTACGTTTTCTATTGTGTTTTCTTCTTTATTTAGCACCTGGAGGTTTCCCGAACATTTGGTCATGTGGACGTTAACTGAAGGCTTTAAAAGCGGTGTTTTTTTTTTTTGTTTTTTTTTTTTGTTTTTTCTTTAACGCAAGTCCCGATTAACGCCGACCTTTGTTTCCGACGCCAAAAATAGACGCCGAAAAACACCGACCGTACGGGAAAGAATAAGCCCCCCCGCCCCCCCCAAAAAAGCATTCGGAATTCGAAGCAAAATAGACCCTGAAAACACGGAGCTTTGTAAATCAGGCGCATGTGAAGAGACATAAAACTCTGACACCGGGTGCTTCAGATAAAACTTTCAAATAACCTTTAAAAAAATAAGATGATAAAATAAATTTAAGACACTCTTTCAGGAAACAAACTGCCAGCATCAACGGACGTCAGGATTTCAATATACATACTAATTACCTAAATAAATAACTAAAAAGTTGGTAACCAAGTTTTTAATTGGTGAATATAAACATATCCTTCCAAATAAAATTCCGCAGAGCATGTCAAAACTTGCTAAATCAACAAATGTTAGAAACATATAAATAGTGTTCTGTGTTTTTGGAGAAATTCGACAAAATCCGAAAAACATTGGCCGGTAAATTTTCCGTCGATCCAGATTTATCCAAAAAAAAAACTCAGATTTTCGAGGTCGCGGCGAAAAAAAATGAACAGCAAAAAGGGCAGCGTTCTACAATTAAACTTTATAAGAGCATAAGGTCAGTGGTCCTGAAGAGATCCACTTCAGTTTCCTTTGCAATCTGGAACTACTGACAAAAAAGTGGTCGCTTTTTAGCACGTCGAGGTTCTTTCAGGACGATGAATCGTGGTACCGAATTTTCGCATGTTTAAATTTACGCAGTAAACCAAACTTCGAATTTGAAAGAATTGGGAATGTAACAACTATAAACTCCCAAGAATCCCGAATCCCCAGCGAAAAATAAAGTCCAAAAACACGGAATCCTACAAAACGTATGTCCAAAATTTTACGGCGTTCTAAAAAAAAGGCTTAATTTGGACGCGTTTTTAGATTTCACTTTCCCATCGGTAAGCATTTTGCTTCATCATTTTTGTGGTCCCTAACATCCGCTTTCGGAAAAACTTTATATTCTTGTAGCCTTGATATAAAAATAACATACGATTTTGACGGGTTAGGTTCCTTAAAAATATGAACTCAGTCTTTTTTCTTTTTTTTTTCTTCTTTTTTCGAAACGAGATTATAAAACTCTTCCAAAGTAGGTGCGTTTCTTATCAAATTTACCAATTTCATTAGTATTCTGCCCTTTTTGAATATGCCAAAGCTCTTATGCCCTTTGATTTATCCGTAGTAAATTTGCCAGCAATCATTTTGTAGTGCCATTATTAAAAGCATATGTTTCATTAAAAAAATTAACTCTAGGTAATCATCACCCTTACTTTTGTTTGCTCTATACTTTGTTACAACCAAAATTGTACACGTTACATTAATAAAATTAATCTATTTCAGTTACAATTACCATTACTCCTGGTGACAAGGTATTCGGTCAGATTACTCTATTACTTGAGACGAAAAGGAATTGGTCGTTACTTAAGAAATTAACCGTTACTTCTCTCTGTACTTCAGATTTACAAAACGACCGTGTTTTCTGCCGGTCTGAAAACGGGTCCTTTGTTCTCTTCATTATTGGATTAAAATTCCCGATTTACGAACTACGTATCTTCTTAATCTGCCATTCTTTAGTGCAGCGTTCTTAAAAAAAATTTACAGACCAAAATGGGCCGCAAAAAATTTGCGATTTTACATGTCAATCTGAAACTTTTCCCGAAGACGTCTTTTACGGGCTCCATTAACAATAACAAGTTTCAATTCTCTACTCCAAATGAAAAAAAAAAATTATAATTTATAAACTGAATTTTCCAATGCTGGAGGGGTGGTTGGAGCCACAGTTGGGGGGGGGGGGGGGGGGGCTTTGGCCCCTCATTGCAGAGATTGCAAGTGTCGGCCTAATTTGGGCAGGGCCACGATTCTTGGCACACACAAAGAGAAAGGGTGACAAAAGAGATTATAGGGGCATTCCAAATTTCCTGTCATGGGCAAGTATGTGTTAGTGAACCATCGGTGGCGCTGTCAAGAAAACATACTTTCCTGCGGGAAAACAAAATCAGTCACGTGGTGAGTGGGTAAGATTTTTGGCTCATTTCTCGGTTGGCGAGTGTGACCCTGTGTTTTTGTGCAATATTTTAAGATACTGTGTATGTTTTCTTCATTTGTTCCCTCTATTAAAATTGTTCATTTGGAAGTAGAGCATTGTCCTGTCGTGAATATTATTTTTCGTCATCCGCGTTTTCTGAGCTGTGTTCCCCCATCATGAATAACTTTTTCTTTCTGCATCTCCTTTCACAGTTTGGCTCGCCTCGAGAGATGGGAGATGCATATATTCGCCTGCATGGAAACGGCAAGTGCCCCCAATGCCTGCACTCACCATCGCTGACCGGCATTGGTGGAGCCATCTCTGAATAAGCTGGGCAAACATGGTCGTCGTTCGATCTCCCTAAGACAGCTGCGCCTCCAGCATTGAAAATGAATCAGTTTTTGAATCATCATTTCATTTTTATTGCGAGCAGAGAATAGAAATTTTAGTATGTTAATTGGACCAGCTAAAGATGCATTTGAGAAAAATTACACCTTGATACGCGAAGTATCTCATTTTAATGAGCCAATTTGATCTGCGATGATTAGCTTTTTTTACAGGTTGTGCATTATTTACCTGTCGGGAACTTGATTTGAGGATTCCTTGCTAGGAAACTTGTGCAATCAAAGGGGTATATAGTAATTGATACAAGTAATATTAGTACTAATATTAGTAATACAAGTAGTACTAATACTAGTAACTACAAGTAGGACTAATATTAGTAATACACGTAATATTAGTAAAAGAGATCAGATTACCCTCGCGATTACTTCCTAGTAAATGTGATCAAATAATTACAAGATACTAAAACAATAATCGACTGTAAGTGATTGTATTACTTGTAATGACTACTGTACAAGAGCGGCTGCAACATAAAGATTAGTCAGCAGCGGACGCTCCACCTCCAGGGTGACCTTTCTACCTTCGGTAACACTTCGGCGCACGTGAGCACCTATTGCTGATCTCACGTTGCAACAGACTCTAGCTCACATTCTTTTATTTAAATGCTTATTTATGTTTTAAACCCAGGGTAAAAGAATAACGCGCCAACATTTATAAAATTAGATACGCAGATTGGAAGGGTTCCAGAGTTACCCGACAGACGGCGCCAGTGAGTCAATGCGTTTTCTCCCCGTAAGCGGTTAGAATGCAACTCAAGTCAGGTCACACGTAAGCGTAAATGTGTGGACCAGCCTTGGTAACCCTAAGACAAGGCTCCACCGACCAAAATGAACGGTTGGCACGTTAATAAAGAGTTTTAGGAGATTGCTCCTATATGACTCCGATAACGATGCCCGATGGTCCGCCGCCGCCTTTGCGCAAGCATTTTATCGTTATCGGGTATTGTTATCGGGGGTATCGGAGGTATCGGAGGTATCAAGTCAAATTAGGGGATTCTACGTGCCAAACCAACGACGGGCATCTGGCACGCGCCAGCGGAGGACTGAGGATTAATTTGGACCACCTGGGGATCTTTTTACGTGCAACCGAAAGCTCGGTTACACGGCGCCTCCTCCGCAATAAGCCTCCGACAGATTGCGGGCACCTCGGCCGGGATTCGAACCCGCCACATGGGGAGGCCAGCGCTCTCGCCTCGGCGCCAGCGAGGCGGCTTCGGAAGTATCATGACGGTCTGTTAAAACTCTCTATTGTGGTGACAATTTTAAAGCCGAAATGACACTGACAAATGATCCTATCTTTCCGTAACTAGTGAAATACGGCGCGCGTTTGTACCGGGCGTTTTACTGACACCGTTTATCTCTTGAAATTTGAATGTCAGTGCCTTTCTTCCTGCTCTTCTATTGCAAAGAAATCGGTTTCGAAAATTCCGTGCGCCAATGTAATCTTGTGACGTTTCATTGAAACGGAACGACCTTACCTTTTCCAGCTTTCGTGATGGAGGATGACGCCGAGGCAGCTTTGCTTATTTTGTGAGCAACCCCTGATATCTTCGAGTCACGTTGCACAATTGGATAAGGATGAATCACGTGGGAGGAATTGAGTATGCCCGTCTGTGTGGAGTACGATGAACAATACGTTTAACAATATACTAAAGGCGAATCCCACTGGTCGTTTCGGAGCGCGCCGGGACCGACTTCTATGCTTTTCTGGGCGATCGGGGTCAAGGCGGACGTGTTCCACTTGTTGTTTCGGATCACCTCCCTCTCCACGTTTCGATCCGGATCCGAGAAAAGTCGCTCCGCCGATTTCGGCGGATTAGACCGGAAGCCAGCCTGGCCAGCCCTCGGCACGCACACGTGACTTCCTTTCTCGCCGGGCATCTCGCCGAATCTCGCCGCGGAAGAATTCGTAATGGCCGCTCGCGAAGCGCTGCGCGCTTTACTGATGCTGCTGCTCGATGACAGTTCGTCGTTAAGTTGCTCGAGCGGCTTCTTCAGCACCAGCGGCTCGAGTAGCACGACGACGAGGATTGCTTGTATGTCCCTCATGAATTCGACTGCCTTTTTGGACCTCCGCAGAAGAGGCTGAAAATCGAGACGTACTTGGACACCGTTCGCGAGTATTCTGATGCAGAGGCAAGGGGCTACGTCGATGCACGTCTCTTATAGACACGCATCTTTCACATCATGATTAACTTCGCTTTTTCGTTGAATATGTGTTGTTGGCGCCGCAGTTGCGAGAACATGTGCTTCGACATATCGGGGACCGCGAGAAGGGGATTCCGGGGAAGGTAAATAACGGGAAGGCATCCGCCGCTCCCGGAGGAGGGGTCGTGCTCCATAGGGGATCTGGAGGCGGACCGACTCTGGTCGTTTCGTGTGCTCGATCTCGTACCTGGTCTACTACTCCTGGAGAGCTCCAAAACGACCAGTGCAATTCATGTTAAGTGGATTTAGAGAACAGTTTCTTTTTTTTTTTTTTTCTCTAAGCTATTGGCAAGAAGGGCGGTGCTGCCTCGAGGGCGTGCCGCCGGCGTGCCGCCGATCTAAAAAAAAATTATTTAAAAGTTTTTTTTTGTTGTTTTTTTTTAGTTTACTATTATCTATTGTACGCATATGTTTAGTATGTACACTTAACTTGCCAGACCGGATTGACACGCGGAACGAACCACTCAAATACAAAGTATGGAAAGTATAATAAACCCTTACTAAGTATGCTAAAATGTACTTTTAGTGTAGTTCCCTGTATTATAAAATTTAAAAATTGTATACTTTCTTTTTTTTTTGTAGCTTTTTACCAAGAGTAGTGTTCTCTAAGTTAAAGGGGCGCGCAATTGTCTGAAAAAATCGATTGTACATTTAATATTTAATTATAAAAAAATATTAACCGCAATGCTTGTTAAAAATTTGCATTTTATATTTCATTTCTTGCTGCCTCTCAGAATCATCAGTGAATGATTCTGAATGGCAAAAATGAACACAACGCACCGGAATGTAATATTCCGCATTAGGACGAAGCGGTTGGCAAAAAATAAGCTTTCGAGATTAGTGAGTTTTAGTAATGCGTGCACGAGGGAACGCAAGCACTATGCGTTTGCATTTGCGTTTCGAGTTTCACACGGCTCGTGCGCGGAGCCCAAACTGCGGTCTTGGATTGGCACATGGCGACGACACGCATGCGCAGCGTAAACCACGCAACGCAGACGCAGACGCAAAGCGCTTGCGTTTGCTCCTATAGACGCACTGCGAAAACTCTCTATTGACAAATGGGTGAGTCTGCGTACCTATACTCTGTTTCATACTTAATGCGCAACGCTGTTAAAGCTACTGGCGCGAGCGCGTGGCTCCATCTATGGTTTTGTTTGGGCGAGAACGTGTGCAACTCATAAACGAGATCAAGCTTCATGCTCACGTCAGTAGCTTTGACAGCGTTGCACACTAAGAATGAAACAGAGTAGATAGAAACGGATCACGGAGAGCTTAAATGAAATTTGAAAACGGTATACGACAAAGCACCATTCCTTCGCTTTAAACAGCGACATTTTTTCGTGCCAACACAACCCATGGATGTTGGCACTTCCTCTATACGGGGAAACATCGTTTCGCCCTCCCCACGCAGCTGGAGAATGTTCACATTTTCATAGTGCGTGCAGACCCTTGTTATTTTCTTTCTTCTATGTGTATTTACTTGTTCTATCTTGTAATGTTGTTGTTGTTTTTTTCGTCGCCCCTACCGGATATGTGAACTTTGTCGTTGGAGGACGAGTAAGTTGCATACCTAATTGTTTGGGTGATAGCACTAAACTATTCTCTATTCTTTCTGCAGTTTGATTTTTGCATAGGGAGGGGATGAAGAAAAAATAATAGCAATCCACACCACTGAATTCTTAAGATCGACAGCGTGTACTATTGTTGAATGTATTTAATTAAAAGCTAACATAACCGCCGTGGCGTCACAGTTAAATAAATTACTATACAATAATTGTAGCTATACTTGAAACGAAGTCAAACGGTAAATTATTATCTTCAGATTTTAAAAGCAGCCCTTTTGCGTCTCACTTTTTATGTGGTGCTTTATCTTCTTGAAGTTTATTCAGTATGTTTAATAAGGGCCAGCGAAACGTTGCATATATCACTGCCGTAGCGATAGTTAGAAAGCTTAACGTGTTAAAAAGGCACGTCCACTTCATCTTTATTTTATTACAAAATAATCTAGAGTTATTCGAAGTTTTCATTCCTCATTACAATATTCAACAAGTAATTACTAAGCGCACATTCAATTGCAACCTGCTATCACATTGTATACCAATCGTTTGATATTAAAATGGAGGCTTTATTTAGGCTGACGTAACTACATCTTCAACCGTTTTTATTTCCGAGATCACCCTGTTCCTCGCAATGTTTTCTATTTTATGCGTTACGAACTTTAATTACCGCTAATATACTAAAACTGTACTAATTACCATTAATATTCCATGAGCTGTTTCGTAGAGCATCACTGAAGATAAATGCGTTTTGTCTTGTCGTAGGTGTTCACTGTATATCTTGCTCGGAATCTAGAACAGTACGGGTATTATCACATATAATAAACATATGGCGTCAAGTTGTTTGTTCTGAAGGGAGGACTTACATCTCTCAGCACGTATTTTCCATTTTCATAGTCCGATACTTCTAGGTTATCATAAAGAATATCACTCTTCTCCAGATTGAGTGTAAGATGCGGATCAATTTTCACAACCTTCAGCCCATCCTCAGATCGACTCTCCACAAGTTTTAGATAAACGAGGCTAGTTTGTTCGGCTGTGCAAGAGAAAAATGTGTATAAAAAATTACACGAAACGGTGAACGACAACGAGTAATGCCACACCGTATACATTTCAACAACCATTCTAAATTGAAACAAAAATTGTAAATGATTTGTCTAATAAACGTATCGAAAATTATACAATACGAAGCGTATTTCGCACTTATATCACTTCATATATTCTCATGTGTATTTTGATTGGACACGTTCATATATTTCTTTCGCTAGGCTACAATTCATTTTTTACTGTTGATTGACAGTAACTAAAGAATGACCAAAAAGTACAAAGTAAATTACAGTCATATAAAAAGATATCTAACTCTGAAAATGACCAGTAGCTATGTTTATCTTCCTAGCTTATTAATTACTAAATACCCTAGTGAACACGACATTTTTTTGCCATCTCTACACCAACTTTACTCACACTACAGGAGCTTTAAAAAAACTTTTAATTGTACAAACAGATTAATTGAGAACATATGTTATAGGTCTAATACGCTTTGTTGGTTTTCGAAAGGCCATTGGCCGTTCAACTAATCAGATATTCAAACAATTAACACGCGTATCTACATACTAGAACTCTACTACGAAAAACAGGTATGATTCTTCGCAAAAATTGACTAAATCACTTTCAATGTTCATATCAATTCAAACGTGATTTATAAAATTGCGTACGATTAATGTATATTTATAAGAGAAACATCTTACTTGAAATCCAGTCGCACAAGAACAACAAGATAAGCGACTCAGTCAGCATAGTCATAATAGAGAAAGTATGGTGCTGAATAATACGTCGTCAAACCTTTTTTGAGAGCGAAAATTTCCTTTTCATGTCTACAAAAGTCGTTCAGAGACGGAGTCACCAGGAATTTCAGCAATGAAACTAATGTATAAATCAAGGAGTAACGGTAATAAATTAATATATTCCGTCGATGTTGTAAACAGTAAAAAACCATCTGTTTTTATTTTGCCGCTTTGCTTTGTGCCTTGATATGCTAACAACGTTTTGCGTCACGAACGAGAACTGCAACTCGACATCGTCCGAACATGACATGACAAAAGAGCAGCACAAGAAACAACAGCTGGCACGAAATGTTCGTCTCCATGTACTGTCGAAATACAAGCCTTATATTTACATAGAACACCTGGAATATACATTAGAAAAGCACATCCTTCTATGCGTTTTTCGTCTATTATATTGTATTCTTCCAGAATCCATCTAGGAATTTTCAGATGCAAGACACGCTCCTATTGATGTGTGTGTGTGTGTGTGTGTGTGTGTGTGTGTGTGTGTGTGTGTGTGCGTGCGTGCGTGCGTGCGTGCGTGCGTGCGTGCGTGCGTGCGTGCGTGCGTGCGTGCGCGCGTGTGTGTGTGTGTGTGCGTGCGTGTGTGTGTGTGTGTGTGTGTGTGTCTGTGTGTGTGTGTGTGTGTGTTTGTGTGTGTGTTTTAAATATAACGACTCTAACATTTTGGGACTTTACTTATAAAACACGCTCATTGCGTCTGCACACTCAAGCGAAGGACTTCACTCTTTAAAATGTATCCGAGTTCACTTTCTTTCAGATCACATAGATAGCCGATTACGGCGAATAGAATTCCAAGTAATGATGCAGCTTCTAGTACAATTAGAAAATTTTCTAAGAATTGCAATGCGCGCAAGGACGACGAGGGAAAAGGAAGCAAAAACATCAGGACCATTGGCTTGCGTACCGGCATTTTTATGGCGTGATCGAACTCTGAGATTCGTTAGTCGCTGAGATTCTTGTTTTGCCCGCCGTGATTGGATGGAAAGTGGGTGCACCGACATTTTTACAGTGTGTTTTGAACACTATCCTTTCACGTGCAGTCCGGGGGTGGGGAAAATCATAATATTTTTCGAGACAAATAAACGAGATTTATTTGATTTAAATTACTCCAATTTGATTTAAATCAGAGTATATATAAGATAGTATTTTTTAATCAAGAACGAATAATTTATGTAAATTTAAAAGTACAGTTAATTTAAACGTTTTATTTTATAGGCTACGCTGTGGTAGAAGACAGAAAACTTTACATTGTTTAGTTGGTGAAAACGCTTTATTTTCTTTATCTTCCGCGTTCTGATTTTCTTGAATTAGGACGTTACCAAACTCAGGAACAAAGTGAACGGTAGAAAGAAAACTCAACGCTTTGATCTGCTAAGAAGACCACGACTTTGTGCTTGTGTTGAACCTGTTATAAATATGTTTCGGTTAATGATTGCTTGACCTAAATACAAACCAAATGCAAATAGGAGGCATAAAATAATAGACACTCGGTTAAATTTAAGGAAAAAAAACTATTTTGGGTTTTTTTTTTCGGAAAACTCTGGATTTATAGCGTCATGTACAACACCGGTCGGATCTTATTCATGATTTAACTCCTAACTGAAAACACAGTTTAAATCATTTTGATTTTTTACTTGCCACCCAGCGTGCAATTAAAATCTCGGTTGTAGCGTTGCACCAGCCACAGATTTTCTTCGGGCACATTGGCCGCAATCAAACACTTAAATTTGGGTCCCGTAAAGCAAATGTTTTCATTGTTTTTTTTTTTTTTTTTTTTTTTTTTTTTTCAGGAGCCATCAGGGTGGCTTTAAGTAGGGCATATAACGATAAAGGATTTCCGACATTCGACGGATGTTTTAGGGAACCTTTTTTAGACATCCGATACGGTATACGATGGGCCCTCCGGTACAAACTGCGCATGCGCTAACACAGAAAGCTCGCGCATGTGCAGTTCGTACTGGAGGGCCAGTTGTACCGTACGGGATGTTTAAATACGGTTCCCAAAAATTCCCCAGTAGCTTGCGCCTTTCACGGGGTGTATACTCCGTTTCACGAGATGATCCGATGAAGGCAATCAAGTGGCGTGAAAACTTGCATCGTCACTGCACCCATTGGCTTTATCGCTTTCCTGTCATCAGCCGAACCAATCACGCTCAAAACTAAAACCGCCGGACGCCGGCACATTTACTGCTCTTGATTGGCTCCACAGTATACTCGGAGCATCGACTGCGGTCGACTTTCGGTGAAACGGTTCTGTTCGACGGGAGATCCGATTGTCGCGTCTCTAGCAGATGGGTCGCCAACAAAACTCGCACGGGAACAAAGCAACAACGGCGCGAATTATTTGTTTTGTGTTCCTGACGGAGCAGACGGCTGACGTAGCCAATCACGCTGCGTGAGCGTTTTGTATTGGGGCTCATCTGCCATTAGAGAAGCATCGACTGAGTCCCGGCCAGACGCTGGCGGGTTACTCGTCTTCAACATGTGCCTCGCGCTCGATCGAGAGCGGTGACCTAAATAATCCACAGGCCTCGCGTTTAAACGCCGCGTTTAAACACCGAACTGCATAAGGTTCCCCCTTAAAGTTGGATCTCCTCGTCAACAAATAAGAGAGGGGGTCTCTTTTGACGGGTGGCCGACCATCAGGGAGATTTGCTTTCTTTTGGACGCGTCTTTGAGCAAAGTAAGAAAGATGAGGAGGCTTCTTTTCTTTTTGTTTTCTTTTTCACTAAAAAAGAAATTTTTATTTATCTTAAAAAAAAAAAGAGATAGAAAACGTCGTGGTCTCGTTCGGTATATTGTTGCTCCACTTGTCAGATATAATATGCCCTTTAACTTCAGTTCCACGTTCAGCGCCCTAACGTTGAACGAACGGTACCAACGTCTATGAGCGGCTTGATAGGCCAGTTGCACAACTTATTGAAATAGCTAATGTACATGTAATTGACTGCAAAAAAAAATAATTGTTTTTTTTAGCTTTATTGCAAAACCTCGGTGTTTTTTAGTTTTTTTTCTGTAGTTTTTGATATGTACTTTAGTTCGTTAGCATGCTATAACGCACCGTTATCCATCCCCTCGTAAGATACGGGGCCGTCTGTTCGACTGTTGGGTGCTGTACGTCAATCTGAAGTTTCGGGGTGTATTATATGGGACAAAGGGTGTTAGGGCACACCCTTTTTTCTTAAAGTGGGGCTGGTGAGTACCATACTCCGTTCCACCGGCCCTCAGCTGAGAGTGCGGCAGGAGCAACGCGCTCGCCGTACGAGTCAGCCGCCTCCTTTTCATCACCTGGCCCCCTCTCTGCGCCTGAGTATGAGTGAGAGTGTGATCACGTGACATAAACTAGACGTTTGACTTGTACAACGAGCACGTAGTTACCACCGCACTGTCAGGCTGGGGGGAGGGGGAGGGACGTATTAGAGTAAAGTAATGCCTGCAAACAGGTATTTTTAAGGGTAAACGGGACGGGTGCTTCAACGCTCCGTGGCGAAGGTGACAGAACTGTCGTCTCCAACTGGGTCTCGTTTAAGTTTATCCTATTTAAAGACAGACGGGAGATGAAAACTTTCTTTTTATTCGTACGAAGGCCCATTTGACGCGTCAGTTTTTACGGACAACAATGGGACACAGCTAGAAAAAGTTGGAGCAGCAAATATTACTGAACTCGATATCTTTAGAGCTGCGATATACCGCTAAAACGATCTCAGCAGGGCGCTAGTGGACAAGAAAGCCCGCATTTGCGGGCGCTTCCGTATTTGTTTATGTCACTGGCAATGCGGCTTCCGTGTTGCCTCCCTTGCTTTTTTTTTTTTTTTTATTTAATTTGGACACTTAGTTTTTAGTCGCCGATTTTTCGCTTAGCTCGTGACTAGACACGTTACTAGCTTTACGACAGCGCTAGTTAGTCACACCTGGTGAATACGACTGTATGTGTGTATCGTTTTGTATTTTACTCACCGCGCTTGGACTTTCGAGTCACATTTTCTCGCGCGTTGGTAGCTTTAAAAGTCTTCGCTACTTATTCGGTGTCTTCTTTGTTAAGCCAACAGGACACCCAGGCTGTTCTATTACTCATTGGCGGTCAATATATCTATTTGTGTAATGCCCCTTTTCTGTCTATGCATCATAATCAAGGCATGGGCCCTTTCGAAAATTCAGCGCCATCTAGTGGTTCATATATCAGTCTAATATTTTGTATGCTAATTGTGGTTAATATCTAGTACCTATTCGTTAACGGCAGTCATTCCAAAGTTAAGCTGTTCGTCGCTGTACAGTTATTTTTCTATTTGTTTCTGTTTCAATGATGTCAAGCACCTGTACGAGGCTTTTGGTTGAGTAAAACTCTTGATCAAACTCACCAAATTTCATCATCATGCGCTGTCTGGGGTACGCCGAAGTTAAGAATTCTAAGCATAGGATTTATATGGCACTCGAAAATACGTAGCGCATAGAAGCATGTAAGTCACGTCACGCTGACGTCGAACAAAAATACAGCGAACTAACATCTGGAATGTTCAGATTCCGCGCTGGTGCATGTCTTTCTTCGCTAGCCATCAAATGGCCGCCATTAGCACGTAGAGATCATATGCATTTAGGTGATAAGAGCTATACAGTGGTCGGATTGAATTTCGGAGACGGCCTATTAGCCGTTCATAAGCACACGAAATAAACATGCTCTAGGAAGTCTAGAGCGCCTACTTTGCCACAAAACAATATACGTAGCAAGCTTGGAGGATGACTAGGCTGGTGGTATATTTGGACCTAAAAAAAACAGTGCGCTCTGCGGTAATGAGAATGGTGAAACGTCACGCTATGTATTCGCGGGTACATATATCTACATATATATGGGTGATTTGATCTCAACTCAGGCACGGATTTAGGGTCGAATTTTTAATTTTGACGAAACAAATATATGTTTTGGGGCAATTCCTATAATAAAAGAAGACGCAAACGGTTATTTCGTCGAATTTTTTT